GAGTCTGGTAACGGAAGAAAATTTGCGGAGATTGAAAAGCCCTTGAATTGGACGGGCTTCTTCCGAAACGAAATGCTTTATTGATTTATCCCGATTCCCGTTGGGCGGAACTTCTGGTATAAAAAAAGATGCTTTAAATATGTTTCAAATTTACGACCTCTGGTGACATTGCGTCCCTCCGTTTTTTTATGCCGGAAAATTTCCTTCTGGATTGAGACTTTTTCACTCGAGAGATATCACGTGAATTTTGTTCAACACGCACAAGACCTTTCATCTTGATTGCTTTTTAGGGTGATTTTCGTATAATGTATCTTGCGTTGAGATTCATAAGTCCTGGCATATTCTGTCTCTGTTGAACTTTGAAAAATCTAACAAGAAACGCACAATAAACAAAAAATTGAATATAAGCTCTGCTTGGATACTGGGGGCGTTTTCAGCTGCCGTAGCCATTTTCGGAACTGCATAATAATTCAGGGCTTTACAGGTACTTGGTAACAATACTTCTCAACGAAACTGCTTCTCATGCTGAAATCGGGGAATTTTTTGTTGCAAAATGGTTTTGAATAATCCGTGTGATATTTGTGGCAAGATTTTTCTTGACATGAGGTCTGCCATTCGGTGCCTCGTATTGAAATCCAGGATTTATGTTTCATTCAACCTCAAGTAATTGAAACTTTGATTTTTTTGTCGAGTAAACTCCAATTTTCCTATGAGGGAAAAGTAATCAACCGCAGAGCTCAAGCTATGAGGATCAGGCTTTGACAGATTTAAAATTTGTTTTCAAAGAAGCTCCTGCGAGAGAGCAGAACGGAGTACCACTTTGGATCTCAGCTCAATCGTAAAGCTATCCGACGAGGAAGACATGCATTATTAGTCTTTCCCAGAGATGCCAAATATTATAAAAAATTACATCTGACCCGAGCAATTCGTGGAATAATCCAGAATTCCGGATCATTAAGAATATTTCGAAGAAAACCTCAGTAAATGAGAAATTGCATATTGATATTCCCAGATTCCGTGTTTTTTTTTTTTTTGTGGCCTAGGTATGACAGCACAAGTACGCATAATATTGCTATTGCTCCGCTCAATACACTGGTGTCGACTACAGTTCATTCTTTAATGAGCAAAGATCTTAGCTCAACTAATTCTTGCTTAATCTTGATGCAGTCTAACCTCTTTAAGTCGAACTTCAAGGGACAAGCAAACAATTCGAGCAATGGAAACGAGCATTGTTGTTCGGGAGAGAGAAAGAGAAATAACAGGGATTTGTAACTGGTAATATTCCCGGGCTTGAATTTTTTTAATGAGTTGATAGGATGCTGAACTTGAAGGCAAGGGTTCATATGGACAAATAGTCTTTTACCTCATTTCAGAACACCTAACTTGCCATTTTCATTGCTTTTGTCAATAAAATTTTAGACAAAGGGCTCACAAAAATTCGAGTTTAGGGAAGCTTTTAATGCATTGTTTCTGAAGGAATTCAGACATGGTCATGAGAAAATTTGACATGAGCAGGTATTCGACTTTGGGAGGTTCCAGTTATCAAGGTTCAACTGTAATAAAAAAAGCTAATCGCTTAAAAAATTCAGTCTCTAATCTTGAAGCATGATTTATTTTTATTCTTATTTTTTACCGAGCAAAGCGCGAAAGGGTTTAGAATTTTAAATAATGAGGTTATTTGGAAGAAAAATGTCCGTTGACGACAAGAGTTATGTTTTCAAATTTCGTGTTTTTCGTCGACATCTGACACAAATTCGCAGAATATTGAGATTGTTCCACTGAATCCACTGAACCGACATCGGCTTCAGCCCCTTGCTCGGATGAGCAATACTCGTGGCGGCATCAAGCCACGTTGACACACATTCCAGGGACGATGATGTTTTTCCAGTTTAAACTCAACTCGAGAGAGCCAAGCAAATTTGTTTTCATTTTCTTTTGAGTGACTGTAATCATTAAATGAAATGAGATCTTCATTTTTTTCTGTTGACGCCCAGGCAGTTCTGGAACATCTTCGTCCAACCCGCTAAATTTAGGCCATCAGGAAAATTTCCAAAACCGACTTCTCCGTCGCGACGTTGCAATTTCTCCGAAGACTTTCCCAGGTGTTCATGCATGTAGAAAGAATCCGTGCTGTTCCTCAAAAATTAACTGCGTTTCGGGGTAAGAATGAGTAGTTCGCGGAAACGTCAGCCTCAGTTGCCACTTGGGGCTTCAACCGAGACAGACCCGACGGTACGTCCGAGAATTTTCCAGACAACTCTGATGATGGGGTAGATCGTCCATGCAAGGGATTTCCAGAGAGACAGATGCAGGGAAACGTTTCTGCATCCTTGCTCTGACGCTCAAGGGTCAGAGCTGCAGAATTCTGTGTCGCATGCGACGCATGTCTCGAGTTCAGAATACAGTACAGTACAGTAAAATCCCGTAGAAATTAATCCCGTCACAACGAATTTTTTCTCGGTCCCAGCAGTTTCTCCATATAGGGGCAATGTTATTCAAATGACCATGTAACACATATCGAATTTTTGCCGTGATTAGGTGTGCAGGCGGGTCCATAAACATGTTTCTCAAATTGACACGGTATGGGAAGCTCCAACTTGTGCATATAATTGAAAAACCTTCAAAAATATAAAAACTAATCCTTGCGCGGAGATAATTTAGCATATTACAGGAAGCTATAATGTATCCAATTTGTTTTAGGAAACGTAAAAAAGGGACAGCCTGAAAAAATAATTACTGTATTTCAAAATTTGAGTTTTCTTCTTTATATCATCCCAAAGACGAAGTAAATTATTGTAATTACTGTATTAACATACAGTATTTTTGTGGAAGTATACAGAACTGTACTTTATAGCATTTTTTTTACCTTTTTCAAAAAAAAAATTCCGTCTTACGTGTTCGAAGAATCAGGAATTTCATTTTATAACGAATGTTTCGGTATAGCTCATTTTTCTTAGGTTCCTGGAAGTTCTTTATAACGACATTTTACTGTATGTGTGGGATTCGGTATACCTGGGTGTACAGTATATAATTGCACGTGTANTGCCTCAAACTCCAAACGCGATCTGATTAATTTACGCATAGATTTGCATGCCATGAGCGTCGTGAATGATGACGAAATCGTCAACTCACCCAAGACCTGATTTTCGTTGCTAAACAATGCTCATGCTCGTATAAGATGGCCAGTGATGGATGAAATTATTATGATGTCGGGCTTTACGGAACTACTGGCTGAATTAGACGATGGATCATAATTATGGATTGATCGATTCATCCCGCAGGAAAGTGTGCTTTTTTGCTGTGTTTCTTCCGCCAAGACTTGTGCTACCTGTTCGTGATATCAACGCGAGGTGAGTATTCACAATTTTTTCATTTGAATGCTTTCTTATTCATTGTTAAATGCCTAGAAGAATTTTTACTGCAAAAATCTACTTCTCCGCTAATCGGACCGAGTCGAAAACCAGGATTTTTCCTTCATAAATCGGATGAACTCCGATTTAGCCTGCGTTCAGAACTGGTTCATTGGATCCGCATAAATGCCGCAGATGGCTTTTAAATTTTTATTATTACTCCCTGTGACGTTTTTCAACAACAAAAAAGCCAACGAAAACTAGTTTGCTTCATTGCGTCATGAATGAATGAATAAAGAGATGGTGGGATATTTTCTGCGCACTAATAATCTGGTTTAAATTCCGTTATTGTTTACCCAGAAAAACGAGATTATTTCTGCGCAGAATAGCGAATGACAAAACGATTTGAAAATATCTTGAGAAAGACCGGATCGTTTTTCTGGAAGTCATCCAGCATATTTAAATGGACTGCAGTCAGAACGGTGAAATCCATTCGACCATCACCATCTCTCGAAGTCTTAAATTTCGACGCGACTTTTTGCCCTTTCGGAGCTTTCTGTGATTTTTGCCGGTGACCGATTTGAGACGTATTCCGAACTCAGGCACGCTAGTATGAATCACAGCTGGTTTCTGGTTGAAGCAGGACTCAAGCACGTGCAGTTGCTGTGCTTGACGTGTGTTGGAGTCGTATGTTCCAGTAACTGCGTGGCGCGATTCTATTGCCCGAATTCGAACGATAAATATTTTTCCGCTTATTCGCCTTATGCAATAGTTTTTTTCGGGTTGAAGAGACGTCGCAGGGCATTGCGAGCAGGCTTTGCTCGATGCCCGACGGGCCGTTGCATTCAGTAGCGATTCGGACGCTTTTGTGACTGGTTCATCGTTACCCTGTGTCTCGTCCCTGAACCCTTCTCGTGTATCAGTGAACAATCATGATGACCTTAGACGTTTTACAAGGAAAAGTGTTATCCTGGCACTCGCTAAAGGCCTTTTTTCTGAATTGCAGTATATTACTGCACTATTTGCATGCATTTATTCGTCTCTTTCGGAAAAATATATTTTTGATTCCTACGCTCACTTTATTTTGAAATTAATGAAGTGACTTTTCTCTGCCTTTGAAACCTATCAAGAATAAACTGATTAATTCGTTTGTACGTTTTCAATCTGTTTACTCTTCGTGTGTCAACAGAAAAAAAGTTTCATCCTGATGAGTCGATTAACTTGAAAATCTCAATTTTTGCTGAACAGCTATATATTTTTATTGTAACTTATATTTACTTAGTTTTAACGAATTCGCCTACAATTGTGTTCTAAACATTAGTCCTCGATAATGAATAGCAGCTTTACTTTTATTGTTTACATGCCAATCTCGCCTGAATTTCTTTGTCCGTGAATCCTGATGTTAGGTTAGGTCGAGAATGTGTGACTTGAGAATTTCCTTTAGTAGAACCAAATATTTTTGCGTGTCAATGTGTGATCAAGCCTAGACCTGAATGGATGTTGTACTTGATACATTTTCTTCTTTCTCTTTGTGTGATGCTCAGGAAAACTCGAAAGTTACAGAAAATGGCACCGAACAATACCCAACGCAAAGAAGCCCTCGATGTCGAAGAATTGGATATTCTCCCGGACGAAGTGGATCCAGGGAAGGCCTCTACAGCCGAAGAAAAAGTGGATGATTTCAAGCCCGAGCTGGTTTGGCTCAACGTCTATTGGTACACCAGCCTGCACCTAATGGCACTGTATGGCATTTATCTGGGCACATTCTATGCTAAATGGCCCACTATCGCACTCGGTGAGTTATGTCACGCATATCTCCTTCGTTCATCGTTACAGTGCAGGTCAGTTAGCATGATATCAACGCAGGAGTCGTTTCTAGGATCTGAAGGAAAAATAACCATCTTTATCCAATAAAGAGTGCTAGCATTTCTGGAACATGGATTTTCAAGCTTGAAACTTATGAAATGATTTTAAAGATATTTTTTGCATAATCCCGCGCTTCTTTGACGCTAGTTTTGGGTCGATAAAAGTCTGAGTACCCGGAGAGATTTCCAATCCTCTCAACCATTAGTGTATCGATGTAAATATATCAAAGAACCCGAAAGTTAATTTCACTTGATATCGTGATTAATGGCGGTTTCATCAAGAACATGAACGACGGCTCATTGAAAAAATCCTCATTTTTTTCAGTGTGCTGTCTTACAATTTTCTCAGAAGTTGTGCGGTGTAAAGGAACATTTCAAGTTTATTTTCTACTCTGAAAATTTCTCTTGAAGAATGATGCATTAAGTTAAGACGAAATCACATTATCGAGGAAAAAATTGCGTGGGGTGTAAAACAGATTACGTGGGAGGATAACTTTGCAAGATCCTAAATATGACAAGAGATAATTAACGGAGCTCATTTCCAAGCTGCGAATGAAGATCATGTAAGTTATATAAATTGGATTACTTTGCCTAGAATTTAAACGTAGGATTATCTGATAATATAATTAGTTATTATTTTTTCTCCACTGTGATGGCAGTAATAGCAAAATACTAAATCAGGAAGTTGTTGGGTCTTTCGAGTGGCACGTTGATGTCACTACGTTTAGGTGGGAGATGATGCAATCCAGTTTTTATTTTTAAACTGGAGTTCCATTGATGGCCACATCTCTTCCGATGGTGGAACTTGATGATTAATAACATCACTAAATGAGGAGCACATCAAGCGAGGAAAGTACTAATCCCTTGAATCTGGATGACTCTGCGCGCATTTTAACCATAGCATAAATGCTCATGATAGACTGGTCCCTTATATTCTTTTGAGTATGCTTTCGGGATCATGATAGTGACCTTGCCTTTTGAAGTACTGTACTGTATCCTGCATAAGCCAGTGCTAAAAATTCTCGGCAAACAAGCAAAACCGGGAGGTCTTGCGTTATTTTCCAAAAATCGGCCACACACAAAAAAAAAAAATGTTGCATGAAAACTCTGCTTTGCTTTCGTTAAACGCTCAAAGATTTCGCCAGCTGACTTAACTGCGTATTGGCATGACATAATACTTGAACTCGTATTTGCGGTTTCTTTTTCGGTGTTTCATCGACGCAGCTGTTCTCTGGCACGTTTTCGGCGCCCTTGGAGTGACAGCTGGAGTTCACCGACTGTGGTCGCACCGCAGCTACAAGGCGCGTCTTCCCTTGCGGACTTTCCTTGCTATGGCTTTCACCATTGCTTTCCAGGTGAGTAATGAGAAAACAAGCTTCCCCAACTTAAGATTTCAATAAAAGAAATCACATGTGAGCGAGAAATCTACTTCGTTGCTCCGGGAGAGAGTCTTGAAATGTGATATGGTGACCTACCCGATGGTAGGAGTAATCACAGCCCTTGGCAGTGATTAACTGGGATTTCCTTTTTTTTCAGAAAACGGTTCTGGGGAGTTTTTTGAGGCTTTTTCCTGCCCGATTAGAATCTTAAATTGAGGGTACATTATGATTTAAGAATAGAAGAATTGTGAAATTCGGGTATACGTAATGCTTTCTAGTTTGAACTGCCATTTTTAAATCTTCTGATGCAACATATGCCTGGCCTTACAACTTACCCTTACACTCAAGTAACGTCTAATTGGTGTACGAGTGGTGTAATTAATACTTCACCTCTGCGCATGTGTGAAACATTGTCTGCTGGTCCAAAAAAATGAAATCCTAATTTATTAGTCCTTAGACCGAAATTTTAACACTAATATATGATAGAGATGAACTCATCCTTTTGCGGCAACACGACCAGCACTGACTTCAATAAAAAAGTTTAATGAACAGACCTGAAACATTTTTTTCGTGGGCCACCGGGCATCGGAATGATGAAAGCAGCTTTTCATGAGATTCTGCGAACATTTTTCGAGTCCTCTCATCCCCTCTCGACTTCAAGGCAGTACAGTATAAAGTAAAGAGCTCTTGAGACGTTGCTACTGTCGTCAGTTGCAACCCTTGTGTGGATGTATAGTGCATTGCTGTTTCCTATCATCGGGAGGATTTAATTTTTTATTGAGCGGGATCAGATTTCCGAGGATGCTGCAACAGACGCGTCAACGAAGAGCTGCAACCGCATTTTCCGAGTACTGAACCGAACCCTCTCAACCCTTCTTGTGTTCAAGCTTCGCATCAGACTGGAAGCCCCTTTTTTATTGCGGAAATACTATTTTTTCCGAAAGTCAGACAGAACATGCTTGGTGGGTTCGGGGGGAAAAGTCTGCAGTAGGCTTTTCAAGGATTTGGTGAAGGAATGCGTCTTTTAATTTCCATAAGATCTCTGTAGACCGGACCATTCTGAAGAATTCTGGGTAAAATCCCTCGTTGACGTTGCTATGAAGCATGATTTAAGGGCTGGGTTTTAAGAAATATTGCGCAGAGGAAAGACGGAATTTTTGATTTGGTTTCAAATGTTCAATTAATCAAAAGCCGAAGTTCAACAGAAATCGATGGGCATATGCAACTCGTTACTATTGAAAAATGTTTTACTCTTACTATTTGTGAAGATCGTTTTTACGTGATAGATTAATTTGTTTCTCCTGTTGTCTTGAAAGCCAGAATGTTGGAAAAATGTCTTGAAGCTTGATCATGATTGAAGAATTCTCATCAATTCTTCTAAAACGTCATCTTGCCTCAATCAACCCTGAAATGTTGAAACTATTTCTTGTAGTGCATGTATGAACAAAGAAACCAGAAACAGATGAAACCTGCGATGACTTTGTGCTAACATGCGATTGTTTCTAATGCGACATTCCCACGCAAAAACAATGTCTCTCGATAATGTACCTCGGAAGAAAGAAAAATGATAAAATTGATAAATGCATTTTTGTATTCTCCTGTAACCTTTTGGATACCTTGAAGATGAAACCTCGCTACAAATCCGCGGTATGTTTTGAAAACCTACTAAAGGAATGGATTTACTTGGAAAATCTTTACCACTGAATATTCCTATTTTTTTACTTGATCATGAAACCAATTTCAATTTCAGAATAGTATCTATATTTGGGTTCGCGACCACCGAGTACATCACAAGTTCAGCGAAACCAACGCTGATCCGCACAATGTCAAGCGCGGGTTCTTTTTTGCCCACGTGGGTTGGCTTTTGCACAAGAAGCATCCTGATGTTCTCAACAAAGGCAAAACTGTTTCCATGGATGACGTTTTGGCTGATCCTGTAGTTTACTACCAGCACAAGTAAGCAATGAAACTCTGATGGAAAAGCAGATCTAATGTTCTGGAATAAACGAAATTGCTTCTCGTCGGCAAAAAATGTTCTTCTAGCCGAGGGGAAACTTCTGAGTTATTAGAAAAGCACCTTCTCTTCTTATGTCCAGCATTTCAAATGGATAGAAATCAGCTTAAGAAAGATTTAAAATTACTGAAATTCAATTAGGAGACACTTG